TACATTTTTTGATTAAGCGATGTACACCATCGTGAAAACAAACTAGAACTGAAGTTGGACCGCTAGTTGGATACGTTGGATAGAAAGTCGGAGCGTGAGTGGAGACGAACATCCAACTAGTAGTCCTACTAAGTGGTACCACAAGTCGGAACGTGAATGGCCTGCATAAGACAGACCATTCACGTTCCGACTTGTGGTACGACTAGTGGTCCAACTTCTGCAGTTGGATCTGAAATCGGACCGTGAGTGGGCTAGTTGGATTAGTTGGACAACTAGTGGTACGACTAGTGGGACGACTTGAAGATCCGACTTCCGACTGGCGACGAAGTCGGAGCGTGAATGGTGAAGTTGGAAGTCGGATCACAGGTTGGATCGAAAATTTCCTCAGTCAGTTGACTCTCGGCACCTGTTACGTATGAGATTTCTATGAAATACTTTACGCAAAGATCTCTAGTTCGCAAATATTTATTAGAAAATAAACTTTCAATTGCACGAAAATTACCTTTTTGTTAGGGCAAATCATTTTCCTTTCTGTAGATCTATTTCGGACATTCCTATACAGGTAAATTTCCGATACTCCGGATTGGCTACAGAAGAATTATCAACATACAATAAAAATTAAATTATACTTGTAGCAAAAGATCCCTAGTTCGCAAAAACATAATAGAAAATAACTTTCAATTGCACAAACAATAATTATTCCTATTAAAAATCTACGACACACACACAACAAAATAAATCCCAGCTCCAGTTTAAAACAAATAAAATATAGATTTTATAAATATACAAATCTTTAAAAACTATAATTTTTTCCTACATCTTAAAAAGTCATAAAAATCAAGAGTTGAAAAAATTAATTAGTTCAGCCCTAGACAAATACCTAGAGAAACTAAACCTAATTTTTATATTTTCATAACATACAATAAAGATAACAAGCACAGTGCTGTCATTTTTCTCCTCCTAATTATATTTTGCGTAGTGTTTATTCGATACATCCTAGAACTGAAGTTGGACCGCTAGTTGGATAGAAAGTCGGAGCGTGAGTGGAGACGAACATCCAACTAGTGGTCCTACTTAGTGGTACCACAAGTCGGAACGTGAATGGCCTGCATAAGGAAGTATTAAAATCTTAAAAACCATTAAAAAAAGTCATAAGGCTGGGAGGTAGATACTTTTTATTTATTCACAATTATAGTGCTTTATTATAAAAGTCATATAAAAATCAGTATCTACTTATATAAGTTGTTTGTTGTTTTTCATAATATAAACAAGATCTGGAACTGTGAAATTGAATGATGTTTTATCAGCCTTATTAAGGACATATATCTTATGGTTACATACTGAGTAATATTTATGTTATGGTTTTAGGTACAACTGAAATATATTATAATGTACAGCCAGTTGTCATTAATAATCCAACTGATGATAAACATAGTAATATATCTGATACTTTGATGGAAGAGTTTCTGGTAACAGATAATTTTATTTATTGCTTCTACAACAGTATTACACAATTAACTAAACACTAATAAGCATTAACATATCTACTTTGAACGTTTATATGTTATTTGGTCATTAAATATATTTTTATATTTCAGATGTTGGTGTTAATAGGCAGGAAGTGTCTACTCCACATAGGCCCCATACTCCACAATGTTTCACATCATCTGCAACACAAAACCCCTCAAAGTTATCTGGTGGTACACCCAGAAAAAGGAAAATGAGGTTGAAAATAAAAACTTTATGTGCAAATGCAAAAAAAGCATATACCTCATCCAAAAAGAAGGAAGATAATAAATCTTTAATTAAATTTTTTTTAATGTGTGACCAACTTTTAAACAAACAAAAATTACTGAAAATTTGGTCTGTAAACTTGGTTTGAATAGTGACCAAATATTTGATGCCCTAAAATTAAAAGTAAACACAATGTTAGATCAGGACAAGCACTGTAGTATTTGTATTGATGAAATGTCTATTAAAAGTAATTTATTTTTTGATAACGGTCGTGATGAGATTGTTGGTCTATATGATATAGGAAATAGGAAACAATCAATAATTGCACAAAATGTACTTGTGATAATGGTTCGAGGCTTATATTCAAATTGGAAACAACAACTAGCGTACTTCTTTGTAAACACTACCTTTGAAGCAAATCACCTTCTTCCTATTATAAAACTATTTGAATGTATTTCTAAACTATTTCAATCAGGTTTTTATGTGAATTGTCTTGTTACTAATATGGGATCGAATTTTTTAAAATTGAGTAAATTACTGGGGATTTCTCCAATTAACAAGAATTTAATGTCAATGGACAAAAAATTGTTTATATATTTGATCCATGTCATTTAATTAAAGCCACTATAAGAATATTTCATAAAAATAACTTAATTAATAATTTTTTTTTTTATTTTGATGACAAAAAAACATCTTGGTCATTTAGAAACTTTTTATCATGAATATAAAAAGCAGTTCTATAAGTGTGCACCAAATCTAATACACTCCCATATATATCCTACGTCTTTTGAAAAAATGCGAGTAAAACTAGCATCTCAAATTTTAAGTAACACTGTTACAAGTTCTATGTATACATATATTTCTCTCGGTTTTCTTCCATCAGATGCATTGGGAACAATAGAAATTATTGAAAAATCTAATAATTTGTTTGATATTTAGTACAAGGGGTGCTACTTTTATGGTAGCTTTACTTCAGTGATTTTTCATGTTTATTTAGTGTTCAGTATGCTTATTTTTTGTAAATCTATATTATAATCTAAGATTGCTAAATAAACATTATTATTAGTATTAATTACAATAAATTTCCATTAATATTATTATTATTGTGTTTTATTACAATTTTTTACCCCTCTCTACCACAAATGTGATATATCCAGGCGAATTGAATGTAGTACTGTACCAAGGACACTAAACACAGATAGGATTGATTTTGTCCTATGCTCTAATGTAAGAAATGCGTTGTGTTGAGTGTGACGTAGGCGTGGGGATTCGTGGTTGACATTTCGTATTGTTTTATATAGAATAGTTGTTCCTGCTGCCAATTTTTTTGTTATACTAGCGATTTAACGGCCTTATAAGACTATTTAATTATTGTTTCTATATCAATTTACTTGTATGAACAAAATGGGTGGTAATAGATGTGCCATATATGGTTGTGACAATAATTTTAAGAGTGTGAAAACCAAGAATATGCCTGTTATTTTTCAGAGTTTTCCAAAAGGAAAGGATTTAGTGTCTATACCTATAAGGGCTTTAGGGGTTAACCGATGCAGAAGAGCTGATAATTTTAATCCCGATTCTAGTAGAATATGCTCTGCTCATTTTACAAACAATGACTATGAAAGATATCTTCAAAATTAATTAGTAGGTATAGTGATTAAACAATAAAATGTATATAAAAATTTTTGGAACTTATTTTAGGTTTGCCTACTAAACGCCTTTTAAAGAAAAGACTTTGTTTGTATAAACATACCTTTGACTCACCTGTCTTGGTGTACTCGTGAAGGTAGATTAGATGTTGAATGTTCAAATATTTTGAATATTGCATCTTATCAACATGAACATACTATTACTGAATCTGAAATAATTTTTGAACAAGCTGGTGACAATATAGATTTAAAGCCTGAAGTACATTTTGAAGCAAAATACAATGAATTATTAAACAAGTATAAAAGGTAATTTCACATAAAAAGTTAGTGAAGATAGTTATAGTTTACCATCATGGGTGCAGCAACTCTCTTATGGAGGTTTTATCAAGCCTACAGATGAGTGGTTCATAAAAATAAAATTATGGAATAAATATTATGAAAAATATAGTGATACCTATAGGAAAAATAATGGAGTTGTTGGAAACATTTCAAAAAGGATTTAAAAAAAGAAAAAGTGTTGCCATATGCGCTTAAACTTTTGTAAACTTATAACAATAATTAGAATAAATTATAGAAATTTAAAATCCAAGGAAGCTGAAAATTTGAAGCGAAAAAACTTATCCGTGTTGGATTCAACTAGGTCAAAAATTAGAAAATTAAATAAAATTGTTCCATAGGGAATGTTTCTAAAGTTTCCTAGTATTGTATACTGTTTAGTTTTACCTATGTATGTTTATGAAATAAATAGTTCAGTATTGAATAGTTTTATTTATCATCAAATGTTTTTGGATATTAATTTGTGCTCTAACTACATAAGTAAAACACGTTTTTATAGATTTTATTTACCGGAAATATTTACTTTAAGAGTAAACTGGCATTTATTAATTTAATTATAACACTAGCAAATGCATTCATTTCGAAAATAAAATTTATTTGCCATGTAAAACAGATTATTAAGAATTTATAAGTCTGAATGTCTTAGGTACTGTTAAAAATCTTATTATCTGCCATTTATTTACAAAAACAAAACGTAAATTTTTCGTTTTAAACTTTTTAATCTCAAATTAGGCTCATCTTCCGTAAACATTAATAATAACAATAAGGTCGATAATTGCTCGTCATCCCCACACCTACGTCACAGCCGCGTGTTGCAGTGACAGACGAATTTGGGCGATGGAACTATCCTATGTAGTCAACTGTTCTTTGTACTGTACAACCAGAAGTTTCAGAGACCCCAGATGCATACAAAGAAATCGAAGGGGTATACAGTCATTCTAGCCGCAGCTGCAGAGTTTTTACACGCAGCGAAAATATCGTGGTGTTGGAGGTTAATAGATATTCACATTCAAAGAAATTCCTCAATAGGAAACAAAAAAGTCGTTGTTAATAATATTGCTCCGAGAAGAACATCTAGTATTCGAATTGGGAAGTGCAAAAGCCAGCTGCTTCTTGTTCTTGTTGAAACTCCAATTTTTTTGAAACTCCAATGAAACTTCAAAGTTCAAAGAAAGTTGTTTATTTTATCTTTTTAATCACTTGTAATATCGGCATTTTTATACTATAATTAATAAATAATTTCTAAATTATTTTTTGGTCAAATAAAATCTTTTTACTTACATTAGCGTCATATCTGACTTGAAGTAGAGGTTGTATAGGCACATTATTGACATGTACAACAGGAAGAGCTGTAGCTGTTGTTATGGAAGATTCCGGGCATCCTAATTCTGGACCTTCGTCACTTCCATCGGCGCATTGGGGGATTCCATCACAGGCATTATAAATAGCGATACACTCTCGGGTCGAACGACATTCAAATTGAAAACGAGTACATTTTGGATCTGAAATAAATCAATAAAAATAATCAAGCACGTTTTGAATACTCTTTATTTATAAATTTCATAAATAACATTAAAAATAGTTATCAAAGAGCGTATGTCATCACTGCAGATGTCCTGTAATAGTATAGCTGGTTTCAAATGTAGTGGCCAGAATTTCTAGGAACGTTAATTAAGCAGTGGTGTTCCAATATATAATATAAATGATAATAGATAATATAAATCAAGACAGCACCGAATAATCTAAATATCAAATTATCATTCAAAAAAGATGAAAACACTTTGATCCAAGAGGACTTCCACGTAAAAGTAGGCAAGACAAGATGCAATGACACTGTTGGGAAACATCTAAAGATACACAAGATTCACTGGATAGAAAAATATTGTTCGTTGATCTTTCTAATCACATTGCGTTAAGATGCTCTTTGCGAATGGGTTTATTATTAAAAGAATTCTGGACGAGGTTTTTAATATGTTTCGGAAATATATAACTTTGCATAGTTACAAAAGGTACGGCATGGCAGCCCTACGTTAATGTTTTGAATATCTTCTATTCGCCGTTTTTATTTCTAAATTAGTGCCATCAAAACAATGCCATACTTAACGTTTTTAAATGACAATGCGCGTTAGTTTCGTGTAGCTTTGTAGTCGTCACGTACAATTTAATCATCTCCAACAATAAGAATATTACTCCGTGAAATTCTATTGTTTTTCCTATTCCTACCAAAGTACAGTTTCTTCGTTCGTAACATCGTTACAGTGATCGTCACTTGTCTTGCGAATTTAAGACAAGAGAGACGCTTGGTGACGGCGCGTCGGTTGGACAGTTTTTGTTTATTGGTGCGTTGAATTTTCGAACGGAGGTTTTCAGAAGATTCGAAAGTGTGTTTTAACGTTACAAGGTTTGAGGAAAATTATATTTTTTTGCAACTGCAATGTCGAAACTTAAACGACAACCGATGCTTTCTTATATAGATGCTGATTTTTACCTTCAACCTAATAAGCAAGAGGTAAGAGTTTTATTATTATTTGTCGTCAGGAAAAATATATATTATATTAATATATATTTTGATTAAAAAAACTGCCAACACTCTACATTTATATTTGCAAAAGTTTTTAAAATTACTTCTGTATGATAGATAATTAATCTTTGTCGAATCCTTTTCTTGTCTCATGCACTAGTTTTTCTATAGGACTATTTTTGAGAATTTTACACTTTAAATATTAAACGTATACAGGAAATGTTTCTAGTGGTTGACTGTGTCCTAGTTAAAAAACTTACAAAAAGTATAAAGTTTCCTTTGTGATTTTTATATTTAATTAATAATAAAATTAGAGATTAATAATAAAATTGGAAACTAGATTCAAAACTCAAGTCGAAGATGACTTGAGGAATCTAGGGGTCAGAAATTGGAAAGCCAGGGCGAAAGATAGGAATGGAGACTAGTTCTTGAACAGGCCAAGATCCACCCAGGGTTGTAGAGCCAAAGATAATGATGGATAATAAAATATCCAAAAAGCAATAACAAGATTTTAAAATGTTTTCGGTCTTATCACACCATTATCAGTTATATCTAAAAGTAAGTCACTAGGGGTACAAATTCTGACTGTTAATAGAAAAAACATGTAGTATTATTACTTACTTGAATATATACAAAGAGCCCCTTACAATTCGGTTTAAAAATATTTGGTTTATTTCTAAAATGTTATTTAAAATTAAAGTTTTATTTAAATATTATTTATTGGGAATAAGCCTTAATTGAAGGTTATAATAAGTTTATTGACTCTTCAATTTCCTCTTCGGAAATCTTGTCTATTTGATAGATTGACAACTGTCGCTAATATGTCATTATTTCTATTGAGGTTATCTAAAGTATATATTATATTATGGGTTGGAGGCTTGGACATTATAAGAAGGTGTTTCGGACAGATTAGAAGCCATCGAGTTATGGGCCTACAAAAGAATATTAGGAATAAATTGGGTGGATAGAGCAACGAATGTCGAGGTGTTGAGAAGAATGCAAGAGGAATGCAAAAGAAATTAATAATGCAAGGAAGAATACAGGGTAGAAGGAGTTACGAAAGAAGACGCATTTCCTGGTTAAACAATTTGAGAGCTTGGTTTAACTGCACTTCTGCTGACCTCTTATGGCAGCGGTATCGAAAGTGCGAATTGACATGGTGGTTGCCAACCCTCTTAGAGGAGATGGCACATGAGAAGGAAGAAGAAAGTATGTATACTGTTGTGTTCTAAAAGAATATTAAATTTATTTAAATGTATATTTTTTTTGTTTCTTATATGAACTTTTATATACTATATGTAAATTAAAAATAATTTGATCAAAATCAGAATTTGATATCACATTGAAAAGCAAATCTTCAATACCTACAATATCTTCTTGAACAAAAAATAAATTAGATCTATGAAATTACAACATTTTGCGGATCATGGGCAAACTGGCTCTGTATTGAATCTGCCATGTTCTAAATAGTTTATCTGTCAACCTATAAAAACTGAAATTTGTTTACGTATTGAGGAGTGTTGTTTCGTGTGTATTGTATAATAGTAAAAAAAAAGTATAATACTTTTTTTTTATTATTTACAATTAAGGCGCATCAACCTAAGTGGTTATTAGCGCCGCTTGGTATTACAATTTTGTTTTACATTTTTTTAGACATAGATTAAATATAGACATAGACATAACATAGATAGAGTTTTACATACATAAATCTGAGTTGAAGTACATTGGTTAATAGAAGATTACACATTTATTTGTACAGACACTGATGTTAAATTTTGTTGTATATTCCAATTGACTTCAGAAAACTTAAAACAGACGAATATACACAGTTTTCTTGTAGACACTCGCGTAGCGTTGTCGGTAAGTTACACTTTTGCCTCTCATTTAAATATGCCGGGCATTCGATTAAAATAATGTTTGACACTTAAACTGTTGAAACACTTACCGCACATTGGATGAACTTTTCCAGTAATAAGGTATTCGTGTGTTAAGCGTGTATGTCCTAATCTCAATCTGTTTATTATAATTTGGTCTTTTCTGTTGCTACACATATTCTTCCATCTTGTAACAGTTGTTTTTATGTCTCGTAGTTTTTGTTGAGATTGATTCCATTCTTGAAGCCACTGTTCTTTCAATGTCGAGTTAATCCAGTGATGAAAATCTTTCTTATAGGTAGATTCTATCAAGTCTTCGTTGTTAACTGAAGATTTGGCGGCAGCATCTACTCTTTCATTACCTTGTATACCTATATGTTATGGAATCCATATAAATTTTACAATCGCATTCTTTAACTGAAGTTGGTACAAATGGTTCTTTATCAATCGCAACAATGGATGAGTTGGGTAAATGGTGCCTAAGCTACTCATGGAACTTAAGGAATCTGTTATTATTAGGCACCTGTCTAAGTTGGCGTCCAGTGCATATTTTAATGCTTTGTATATTGCGAATAGTTCTCCTGTATATACTGTGCTAAAATTTGAGATTTTGTATGAAGCAGTGTAGTCGTTGTGTATGAAGGCACATCCCACTAATTTTTCTGATTTGGAGGCATCAGTATAAATATGTTTGTATTTTTGGTACTCATCAATCTTACTATAAAATTGTTTAACCATAGAGGAAGCATTAAGTTGATTACTAGTCTTTGTTAAACTCAAGTCTAGGAAAGGTTTTCTGACCATCCAAGGAGGAGGGGTTAAAAGGGTGGTTTGATAAAGTATAATACTGTTATATACATTTTTATATAGGTACACATATTTTAATACCGTAAAAAAGTATAATAATATAAAAAAAGTGTAATATAATAGTATAAAAAGAATAATACTGTAATAATATAATAATAATAATACATATTTTGTGTATAAAAAGAAATAGAAATCGACTGATTTTCATCTCTATTTTGAAATTAACTATCAAATTCATTCGCTTTTTATCGGTTTTTTAACGTATGAAGTTAAGTTTTTTGTTTAAATAGTCGATATTTTTGACTTAAGACCTTTTTACTTATCAGTACAGAATTGATATATGGGTTATATTAAATTTTACAGAAAAACATACAATTCATACAAAACAGATCTACTTAAAAAACATTAGTTTTAATAATTATTTTGTTTCTCGGTGTAACTATAACTTTACTACTGTTTTGAACGAATTCCTTATTACTTTTCTTAGTGTGTTAAGTAGTTTAACTGTCATTATCTTTTCGAGATTTCTGTCCTACGAACATCAAAGGTACCGACAAAGCTTTCGTTTCTTGTTGGGTAGTGTATTCTGTGGTAGAATGTTTTCCAATCTTCTGCTTTGTTGCATTCTTCTTCCAATCTTCTCGCCAACAGTCAGTTATCTTGAAGTTCTTTCAATTAGACTTTTTATAGAGTGTTGTTTTTTGAACGAAGTCTATTTATGTCTCTACAGGTGATACCAACATGGAAGCGGAGCACAAGATCAGCGGGAAATTTTCTATACTCCATGACAAGGACATGTTCTCACAGGCGTGTGAGGGGGCTATGTTGCATACTGCTGGGAGCTAGTATGTTGATGTGGCCTTTATTGTGCCCGATACAATACGTTAAGCCTCTGTAGTTTGTACACAGTATTCTGCAACGGGATACATGAGTCCCAGTGCCGTCGATCTAATTATAGACGCTGAGGAAACCCATGTGGTACCGTATAACTTTTGCAGAATGATATTTCGTGTATTAACTGTTGCAGTCATCTTTGTAAGATGTTCTTCAAAGTTCACCATTCTATTAAGGGTCACACCTAGATATTTTATTTGTTTAGTGTAGTTGAGGAGTTTATCTTCAAACTGAATTTTTAAATGGTAGTTTAAAGGGTAGTCTGTTGTTTAAATGAAAGCACGATACCTCCTTGGCGGTATTGAGTTGTAATCTCCAGTTGCGAAAATATCTTCCGGGGGTAGCTATTTCGTTTTTTAATGTTTGCTCAATAGGCTCCAATTCCTTATGGCTCGTAACAAGCGCC